CTTAGTCAGAGGGTTCCACCTTTGCTGGCAGAATCTAATGCACTATTGCAAACATGCTGCTTCTGAGTTTGACTGTCACTAAAGTCATGAGTTATTGGCTGGTTTGCTGATCTCTGCCACAGTTCGTTGATGTGCCTGCGTAGCATGTGACCGTCTTCCAGGACCACTTCATAAGAAAGTGGCCCAGTCACCTTACAAACCACAGCTACCACCCACAGTGCCCCTTGCCCCTAGTTCCGTGCCCAAACCAGGTTGCCAACTTGCAAGCACCGTGGTATCTTTGGCTGTGTTGTTTGTGATGCAACTCTATCAGGATGCAGGCGATCCAGTTTTGTGATCAAATGCCGGCCACATCTTAATTCTGCTGGGCTTCTGCCTGTGGAAATGCAGGGAGTTGTACATTGGCAAAGTAAGAAATCGGCTAGCCTATGCTGCCAGTTGCCGGTTACAATCCTTTTTAAGGACTCTTTGGTTGTCCTGACCATGCACTCTGCTTGGCCGTTTGAGGCCGGGTGAAAGGGAGCAGATGTGGCGTGCCTAATCATATTAGCCCTCAAAAAGGACTGGAATTCAGAAGCAGTAAACTGAGCCCCATTGTCAGAAACTATCATGTCGGGTAACCCATGTGTGGCAAAAATCCTGCGCAGTTCTTGGATGGTCCTGGCAGTAGTCATAGTAGGGACAGGTGCGACCTTTAACCACTTGGAGTGACTGTCCACCAAAGTGAGGAAGAGTTGCCCTTGAAAGGGCCCTGCGAAATCAATGTGGATTCTGGGCTTGTGTGGTTTCCCATCGATGGACTGGGGCTTGGGGCATCTCTGGTCTATATTGCTGATAAATGTGGCAGCTGTGAACCTGAGCTTCAATGTCTTTATCCAGCCCAGGCCACCAAAGATAACTTTGCGTGAGTGCTTTCATCCGGACTATTCCCGGATGTCCCTCATGCAGCAACTTTAAGATTCTAGCCCTCAGTGAGTTTGGGACTACCACCCGACTACCCCCTGTGAGCTGACAACTCGTCCTTCCTCCTACTGAAACTCTGAAAGTTAGGCCCGGGACTAGTTTCCAGCCATCATGTGAGTACCCAGTTCAACAAACAGCTGAGCGTCATGTCTGAAGTTATCTCGGCAGCCACGTCCCCTGCATTAAGGGGAGACTCAGACAGGACCTAGATAGCCAGGATGTGCGTGGCTGGAGGGGGTCGGGCTTTAACTGCGGCAGGGACAGTCTGCTAAGGCCGTCTATGTGGCCCATTTCCCTACCTGGTTTATGAATCAGACTGTAATTATACGCTGACATATCTCCTCAACATCTAGGAGATATGATCTGGAGTGTTTGCTTGTTCGTTGTAAACAACTCCAGGAGTGGCTTGTGGTCTGTGAAGACCTTGAAGGGCCTACCATACAAATAGTCATGAAACTTCTTTATCCCTGCCACTATGGCCAAGGCCTCTTTATCTATTTGGGCATAGTTATGCTCTGCAGAGGACAAGGTCCTTGAGTAATAGGCTATTGGAATTTGCCTTCCGTCAGCCATTAAATGATTCAGCACAGCCCCAAACCCATATGGTGATGCATCACAAGCGATACAGACAGGCAACTTTTCGTTAAAATGCATCAAAACTGAGTTTGAAGACAGCAATGATTTGACTGCTGAAAAACTCCTCTCGTGGACACTGGTCCACTTCCACTGTGCATGTTTGTCCAAGAGCAAGTGTAACAGCTGTGCCACTGCAGCCTTGTGAAGTAGAAAAACATGATAAAAATTGAGCAGTCCTAAAAAAGCTTGAAGCTCCCCTTTAGATTTAGGACTCGGGGCCTGCTGAATTGCTTTGAGCTTGGATTCAGCAGGATGAATGCCTTTGGCATCTATGCGGAATCCGAGGAACTCAGTTGAAGCTACCCCAATTTTGCATTTTTTCCATTTCAGCTTCAGCCCTGCTTCTCGGAAACGCTGAAGGGCGGCCTTGAGCCGTTCTGCCAATTTCTCGACTGATTCCCTAGCTATGAGGACATCATCAAAATATGGGCCCAAGCCTGGAATATCTTTGACCATGCACTCCATCACTCCCTGGAAAAACCCTGGGGTGACACTGACCCTGAGTTGTTACTCAAGAGTTTTAGAAATCCCTTAACATGACATTTGACGGCTTGAGCTTAACTCTTTTGCCGCTGTGACTACAAATGTGTTTGAAAGTTCCTGGAAATTATGGATAATGCTGACCCCGTATCTAGTTCCATGTTGCATGGAACTCCGTACAGCTTGACTCTGAGCCGCAACTTCTCCCTAAGTGGGCGATGGGCACCTGTTCTATGCACACTCCATCTACTGGCGCAATAGCCAACCCTGTGTTGCCCTGGGGCCCCAGTACCTTTCCGGGGAAACTCTTTTGGTGGGCTTTCTCTCTGACGACCCTGACATACAGCAGCGATGTGACCTTATTTGCCACACACCTGGCACGTTGCTGTGCGGAACCTGCATTCCATGTGTTTGTGTCGGCCTCCACACCCCGCACATCAAGAGAAGGGAACTGCCTTGTCAACTGGGCATTGTGGCCTTCTTTCTGGTGGCTGCTGTAACCGATCAATCTCTTGATCCAATTCAGAGTCTTCAATCCTCTCAGTGCCCTCCTGGTTGACGGCCTTTACACAGGGAGTGCTTCTGGAGAGCCATTAGGCCTTGACTGCTCCCTTGGTGGCTTCTTCGGCTGTGATCTCCCTTAGGGCATCTTGGAATGAAATAGACTCTTTAGCAAACAATTTCTGTTGGAGCTCCCTGCTTCTCAACCCGCACACTAAGCAATCTCGCAGTCTTTGAATTCACAGGGTCAGGCCACGTGGTGCAAGGCGGCTATGAACTTGGCAGCTGACTCGCCCAGTCTTTGGTCTCTTCGTTCGAAGGCATGCCTCCAGGTGATGACTGATAACTTCGGCTCAAAGTGTTCTTGAGCATTTTTTAAAGTTTGGAATAAGCAACAGACTCAAGCGGCACTGGAGCTATTATATTTCGGTAATTTTGAACATCACCTGGCTACAGACGCACAGCAGCGTTGCGGCCTTCAAACCATCTTCACAAACTTAGTTGACTCTCAAATAATTCTCGAGTATGATCTCCACCTCTCTGGATGTGCGACGTCGAATTCTGAGGTTTCCCGAGTTTGTCCATGGTGAGTTGTTTTGGGCGTTTTCGGCCCCACAATGCCTTATGATGCCAAGGCTTCTTTTAATCTCCCAGGAACGGTTCTTTGGGAGTGCTCTTCCTCCAGCATTTTTGTACTGTTAGGAATGGGGGGGACATGGTCCAACCAAGGCGTCTTCGCTTGGCTTACCCCCTTAGTGACTCAGCTCTTCGAGTTTGGCAGCACATCCCACCTTCGTCGCAACTGTTATGTTTGGTGATCGGTGAGGCATCAATGAGGCAGCAGGTGCAACAACAACTCTTTATTAAAGGTTTTAACAGAAGCCTGGCTAACTACCGCTCCATCCCTTTTATACATTCAGCCACTAGGCGGCAACCAATAGGATTCAAGTATTAGTTCCTGCTTTAACACGTTAATGAGCATGTAGACAGAAAGTCTGGCCCTTAACAGACATAGTCTTATGACCATTTTTTCAACATTTCCAAGTAATTCTCTTCAATACATTACAGATAGGTTTTAGTTTCTTATCTTATTAGCATAACTCTATGAAATAAGAATTATCTGGAGGCTGTTAGATGTCATGTTTGCTCTGTTTCCCTATCTGTGTGGTTGCACTTACTTAAATTACAGTTGTGGAGTAACCAAAATATTGTACTTTGAATAGTGATTGTGACCTCATTTATGGACAAAGAAAAGGGGTTTGTTGGGTTAGGAATTTTCACTGACATGTAAGCTATGTAATGTTCAAGATGGAGGTTTAGAAGAAATACTTTCCTGTGGTATATAAGAATTCTCTTGATACATTATAGGATGCATGGGCACTATAGATTCTACTCTAATCACTTGGATCTAGATATTTGAATATATTTATGGATAAAGGAATCTGAATTCCATGTTTGTGTTGACTCTTTATGGCTGGGCAATGTATTATAGCATATGATATATCAGAAAACTGAGTCAATGAACTATTATCTCAATGAGGAATTCTTGGTGCTCTCTGAGCTTGGTTATTTGCTTGCAGATGTTTCATTACTAAACTAGGCAACATCATTGATGTGAGTGAGTGTAGGATTTGCTGTCTGTTAATATATAGTAATTTATTGTGCCCGTTTTGGTGGAGGTGTGATTTTCTCCCTGGTGGCACCTTGGTTTGCCTCACTACCTACATTCAGTTTGATGAACAAAGATACCAACAAATCAGAAGAACACCCAAGGGATCATTACTCCTATAGGATCGTAGCAGAGACTGTAATGCTGTACCTAATTGGGTAATGAAACATCTGCAGGCAAGGAACTATACTCAGAGAGCACCAAGAACTCCACAGTTCAACTCTGAGCTACAATACATTTTTTTTCTATTATACCTGTTCTTGCTCAAGATGAAATGTGATAAAGACAGTTTTCAGTGTTTCTTTTGGAACTATGGTAAACACTACCCTGTCTACCTTGGACTCTTGGTGTCTTCTCACCCTTCCATTTTTCAAAGTGCTATGGTATCTTGCCACTATCGTTTGCATTTACTTTAAGCAATACTACAGTGGAGATTGTCATGAGGTAGTGTAAAATTATTTTTATGGATTTGAGAGATGAGGACAGTGGCTTAGTAGAAGAACATTCTGTATAAACATCCTTCCAGATAAATTAAACCACAAAACCACATCTAATAAACTACTATTCCTAACAATCTCATTTTTAAACAATTCTGCAAATATGAGGACTAGGATTTACTTCAAAAATATCCTCTTTTTAATTTTCACAAATATAACTCAAAAAGCACAAATATGACTCAAGAAGGACATGGCTGACATGCTAATTCCAAGCTAAAAGAAGGACTAGTTTGAATGATTTCTCAAGTCTTTTATAGCCATGCGAGTATATTGTTCCAAGTCAGTAATTTTACTGAAGTGTAGGCTCTAGGTTAAAACCAAGGAAGCATTTTCTCCCACAGATTCTCTTTATTATACAATCATTTATTTTGTAGATAATGTCCTTTGTATTTTTAGAGGTGGAAGTTGCTAAGGCAACCAAAGTAGTTGAACATTATGTTTTGCTGAGAACAATATGTGTTTAAATGTTCAGGGTTTTTTCCATTGTTCAGTGAAATAACAAGATTAGGCATACTAGAGGAGAGAATCTAGGCTGACCTTAAGAGAGAGGAAAAAAGAGAAAAGACAAACCTTCTCTATATGCTGACAGTCTCCCTGGCTATTGTCAAGGCAAATTCACAACTGATTTATGGAAGGTAATGCACAGGATAGAGAGAGCAAAATATATTTATTTTTATTGAAACATCAAGTAATACATTATTAGTAAACCTGGAGAGCAAATTTGTTGTGCTACTGCAGAGGACAAGAATAGAACCAATAAGTGGCAATGATAGGAAAGTTGATGCCAACTTTGTAATGGCATGAGTTGTTGGACAATGGGATAGATTATATGCTGGCTGGGGAATTCTGGGAAGTTGACTCACCTTAAAGTTTCTGAGAATGAGAAATGCTGCCCTAGAAAATAATAAGGATGGATATATTAAGTAGCCATTAAGCAAGGATGCTAGAGTGGAGAGAGTGTAATCTTGTTTGCCAAAGTTTTTTTGTTAGCATTTATCTGACTATTGTAAAAGGCAGTATACTTATTTTGTTTATTTATACATCCATTTATTATTTTTAGTTTATAAGGGTATTTTGGGATCTAGCCCCAGGCATTCCTCCTTTAGACCACCTATTTTTCTTGCATGTGTCACACAAGATTAAATCTGCCCCTCAACCCCATATGTTGGTCACTCTACAGCAGACATGTCAAACTTGCGACATCATGTGACGTCGTGCAATGTATCGGAGCTTTTTCCCCATTGCTGGCAATGGGGTGGGCACAGTTTCCCAGTGACGCATCTGGCCCATGGGCCGGCAGTTTGACGCCCCTGCTCTACAGAATCACCCAAGCCAAGGCTACGTGCACATGTTTTTAAAAAGCAAGATGAATTAAAGATGAAACCTCAGTTTGGGTGTAAGCAGAAACTAATTTTGAAAAGTAGAAGAGAAAAAAAATGCAGTCTCTTATTAGTTTTTCTTACTGTTTGTAATTTCATCTATGTAACTACTAGAAACAACTGTGGGTTTTGTATACATGTTTGTTTATAAGATAATGAAACATACCATCTGTCACTGTCACCGAATATCAGCTGCTACTAGTGATGTTCTCCCCATTGACAGAAAAAGATATGAAAGAATATTGATTTGTATGCCCTGAAATATTCAGCTAAGTACTTTAAAACATGCCTATAGAAAGGATCAGGCAACTACCGTGTGCCAAAATGATGAAGTGATAATCTCCCTCGTATAGAGATAATGGTATGGATTATGGCAGTAGTGTATCAGTTGATTTCTATGGCCTGCAAAAAGGTGTGTAGTCCAAAGTTTCTAGGAACCATGGGAAATATAGCTTGTAATATATCCAGCATCCCAATTTTGCTACATACTTTTATGGTTCCATTGAAAAATACTGGGAATTATAAAGATATTTCTCAGAATTCATTATTGACTTTGCATATCTGGAATTCAACCTGATGTCCGAGCAATATCTGGAATTTACTTATGTATTTATTTATTTAAATTTGTTTGCCATCCATCTCACTGCAAGGTGACTCGGCTTACATCAAAATAATACCATAACCATATTTACAAATGTATACAATCACAATAAAATTGCAACAAAATTCAGTTCAATCTGGACTCAGAGGGCTATAGCTTCTCATGAGTGATCTGCAGCCTAACTTCATGACATACTTAACAATTAACAAAAGTAAAAGCATAATCCTACTAATAATATCAAGAACATTAGAAGAATTTTACTCCCATGGAGAGCACAGGATTTGGGGGTTAGGGGATAATACACTTCTTTACTTTTGATTATTTTCTTTCCAGTGAAACTAATGCAGGAGAAATTATGTTTGATGATGCAAAGATAATGGTGTTGGACGATCAAAAGAGCTTTGGATTTTATTAAACTCCTGCCTTCCACAATATATCTATGACAGTTCCTCTAATCCACCCTCTTTTTGTTATTTCTGGTTTTTTGCTTCCAAAGCTTCAGTGCTAAAGGTCTCCAAAATTTCCTGTGAAGATAAAAGGAGAATCCAAGGTCAACTGTCTCATTCTGAATTAGGCCAATACCTCTTCAACCTTTTGGGAGACCACAGATTTGCAGCTTCAATGCAAATAAAGTGAATACATAGATTCAGGACATATCAATTTCCAAAGTACACTTAAGTTATCCACATACCATCTTTATAAAGTTGAGTTACATTGATTATACTAAAGAAGTCCTGTTATAATGTATATCCAGTGTCCACAATCTGAAGCAGAGGAACACATTCACTTCTCAAAAGGTATTGCTCCCAACTCTTCTCCAAAAGATGCCAGTAAATTGATTTTTAATAATAACAAAAGGGGGAAATACATGATATGTAATCATATTTTTTGCATTTAATTTAATTTACATTATTAAATCACATTTAGTTTTTGCTTTTGTCCTGTTTATTTTTTCCTTTTAGTAGACTCCCTGGAATGCTATTCAAAGGCTATGCATGGCTAAAGCCCAAGAAAAGTTGTGCCTTTTTGTTCTATCCTCTTGTGTCTACATACTTATAAACTTTGGACATAACAGTGTCTCTTAAAAAGTAATATGTGTTATTTATTTCAAAGTCTGGCAAACCATTCTGTTTCCTTAAAGCACCCTTCAGTTTGTTCTGCTGAAATGAGATTCTGAACCTCTGTTTTCAGTTGTTATCCTGGGGATGCCATTGACAGAACAGCTTGTTGCAACCTATGGCTGGATAGTTTGGTCTCCTCAGGCCCTGAATTGACTTTACCTACTCAGAGAGAATGTGAGTTTAAAACCATTTTTTATCCCAGTTACATTTTGGTTAATCATCAGGCCTCAGATGTCTTTGTTGTTTTTCTTTGATTATGTTTTTCAACTTGTTTTGCTTTTTTATCATAATTTTTTGTTTTACTTCTTGATGCTTTCTCATGCTTTGTCATTTAGTGCTCATTTGGTCACTTGGTCTTGACTTGCTTCTTGCTCTTGATGTTTTCTTTGTAATATGAGGATCTTGCTTTCTGCCTTATCTTTTAATATTGATTTCACTTTAGCTCTTCAGATCAATTTGCTTGATTGTCCAAGATTCACTATAGCCTTTACTCTTTAAACAGTGGAAGACAATATTTCTGTTGCTTTTGCTTACTGCTATCAATCTATAGTAGGATTTGGCATAGTCATATCAAACCATAATGATAATAATGATGATATTATCTATTCAGTTGAGTTCAGCTCCTGGCAATTCTATGGGCCAGGTCTCTCCACGTTTTCCAATCTTGTGCTATTCCTTTGAGCTTTTCTATGCTCTGGCTGGTATCAGCTTTGGTAGTGTCTAGTCACTTTGTTCTTTGACAGCCTGGTTTCCTTTTACCACTAAATCTTCCCAACATAATTGCTTTCTCCAGTGAATTCTCCCACATGACATGCCAAAGTAAGTGAGACACAGTTTCGTGATTTTGTCTTAGTGACATGTTATGTGCTCCAGTACTTGTGCTGTCCAAGGAATATACAGAAACCTTTTCCAGCACCACAGCTCAAACGAGTTGATTTTCTTCCTGTCTTGCTTTTTGAAGGTCCAACTTTCAGAATCATAGATAATGGGGAACACAATAGAATGAACTAGCCTACATTTGGTTCCCAGGCTGATATCCTTGCTTTGCCATATTCGATTCATGTTCATCATTGCTGTGTGACCCAGATGCAATCTGATATTTCATGCCCATAACTAAATCCATTGCTATGTTCTGTATCAGCTATAGATTCCAAGTTATCTTCAAGGGCAATCCCATGTAGAACACACTGCAGTATCCATATGGGAGGTGACCAGAGCATGAATGACTATGAGTAAGAACTCCTAATCTAAGAATAAGTGTAATTGCCGCAAAACATAGATTTGTGCAATGGTTCTCCTAACTGCCATCTACACTTCAAGCAGAAGACTGAGAAGATTTTTAATTGTGCACCAGTCTGTCTGGGTGAGTCCTATCTGATTACTAGTGAAGATGGTAAGGCCTCACATGCTGACCTGGCTTTATCCATTCCATTTCAGTTTTGCATGTACTCATTTAAAAGTTCATTCCATCAAATTACTGCATTTTAAAAAATAAAATTTATTTATATATTAACCATTCCCTAACCTGTACATTCTATGCATACTGGTTCATAATTTATAAATTCTGTATAGTGTTCTGTATAGTCCTGATATACTGTACGTATGAACAAAAAATGAAGCAAGGTATATATCATACATATACATGGATAGATCTGGGATCCTCACTGTAAATTTTCTAAATTTGCAGAATCTCTGCACTGCAACATTTTTACTTTTATTGTAATGCATGTAGTACAATATATATGTGTTTCCTGTTTTAGAATGATATGAAATATATTGCTGAGTTTTGACCACTGTACCTTTAAAATTTACTAGTGTAATTACAATGAGTTCTAGAATTAAACAGAGAGCTGTAAAAGATGCTGGGTCCATAGATTGTCATCCCAAGTTAGTTGAAGAATTTTGGGACACATTATGAGCATTTTGGGAGACAATTTTAATAGGCTCCATTTCAAAAATAATTTCTTTCACAAGGGGATGTCTAGTAAAAGCATGACCCACCCATGATTTCTAGAATATGTTCTATATTTTAATTTGGAACTAAATTGTCACTATGTCAGTTGTTTTGTCAGTATTCTCATGACGTTTTAACTCAAGTTGATATGGCTGTTAATTGCCACCAAGGGGTAAGATTTGTCTTCATAGGTCAGGGATTGGCTTTCTTGGAACATTTAGCTTCTTGCCAATCATCTTTCTAATCCCTAAGAATGCCACTGGTCTTAGCTAAAGCTTGCCAATGTTTCTTGTACATCTTATTGGCCCAACTTGCTGAACTTGCAACTCTTTCCATAACACCTCCCAGATCAACATAATATTTGAACACAATGACCTTGAACTGTTCTTTATGACCATTTGGGACAGGCTGCCAAAAATAGTCCTGTGCACCTGTTATCTTGTTTCTGGCTGAAAATGAAATTGTGAAATGTTGTCTAAACTGTGGAGAAAGAAAGTGCATTCAAAGCATCGTCAAGGAAAAAAGTGCATATCAAATTTTAGATCATGCATGGCAAGCAAAAAAATAAAAAAATAAAAAAGAGCAGAAGAGGATTAAACATATATTTACCTGTCAAATTCTGATTTTATATACTTTTCAGTTTTTGCCAGATAAATCAAACAACTCTTGGTTTGATGAATATGTTATTAATCCTATCAAGGTCAAAAGTAAAAAACAAAACAAAACAAACAGTAACTGTTTCATTATGAAAAGGAGATAGCCGAACACTACAGTGATTTTTCATTTAGAATGGAATTAAACTTAGAGATCTTTGAAAAGGCCTTAAAAGTTATGTTCATGAGGGTTTCCTAACAAAAGAAAGCAAAGTGGAGCTTATTATTTACTAAACTGGTTGGAGCTTTTTCTCAATATCATCTTTTGCAGCTGATATTTGTGTAAGATAGAACAAAAGATGAGGCTGAATTAATTCTTCTGCTATTAATTCTTCTGCTTGGTCTTGAGCTCCAACAGGGCACCAGAATATGAGAGATGGAGGGTTCAAACTTTTGTCTTCATCTACCTCAGACTGTGTTTGTTCCAGGAGAAAAGTTTTACTTGAACCTACTGGAAACTCCAAATGCCACCACCGAAATCTTCAATTGACATTCCTGGAAACTGCATCTGACATCAAGTGATGGTACTGGAAATTTAACTAATGTGCTAAAACTTGGGATAAATAAAATACATTCCTTTTCGGATATGATCTAACTTTTCTACTCCCTATATATTTCCAAGCTAGTTTCCTTCCCTATTTATTTGCTTACTGGTCTTGTACAAGTATGATCTTATCTGCATTATCTTATGAGACAGCAAGATTCTGTAAGTTTTGATAATTCTTTGAGAATAAACATCATGTAGCAGGTTTCCCATATAACTCATAAATTTAATTATATGCTTTAAAAGTCATTTTGTCTATGAAAATAATTTGTGGTATGTTGAGAAGTATAAGTCCCCCTGATTAGTCAAATTTCCCAGCTGCTGTAGTCAACAAACCATTATACTGATGAATCACAAAAATTGACAACATAGAAAAACAGACAGTTGGTATATATAAGATATAGTAGCCTCCCCTTTTTTTACTTTATCTGTATACAGAAGTTTCAGCATGGTCAAAGAACAGGAATTCTGAGAACTATAGTCTCAGAATGATCCATTTCTTGGTAGGTGTCTCTACCTTTTTAAATCACATTAACAGAACTAATCAGAGATGAGCAAAACTATTTGTTTTGGTAATAAACTATTCCTGAATAGTGGATCCAAATGTTCTTGAGAAAATGGAACATTTTGGGAAAAGCCTGAACATTCTGTAATTGTAACACAAAGATAGCACTGAACTGTAGATAATTATTACTTCCAAGTGATCAGGGATTCATATCTTCGGAATTTTGTATAGTTTGCCAGGATCATTATTGAAAATGTGTATTAATAATTTCCCTCTCCAATTTTGTTAAATAATTCAGTTTAATGGGAACTTCTGAAGGAACTTCAAAACTGCATCAAAGACTTAGAACATATGCACCTCTGGAATAAGGCATTAAAATGTCAAAATAATTAATTATACAATTTTGCGTATTTGTATTTTTTGTACTTTTTACATTCTATATAGATTATATGTTATATTGCTCATTTTATATTTCAGCAAAAGTCATAAAGCTATGGGTCTCCTGGAAATGTTAGCACCACAACAATCTGAAAAGGTAGAGCTAAGATAAAGTGATTGCAAAAAATCACCCAGTGAACTTCATGATCAAATAGGAATTTGAACTTTGACTTCTTTGGTCAGTCCAATTCCTTAGCCATTACATCTTTCTGCCTCTCAGTAAATTGAGTAATCATTGTTATCCCTCATATTGTGGGCAAAGAGAATTGAAAGTGATTGGCTAGAAAGGCACTTTCTATGGCTGTCTAC